TTTTACGAGAATTGAAGTAAAACTATGTTTAGAATCATTCAGAAAGTGATGGGAAGTCTTATGAGATTCCAATCAAAAAGTCAAATATTGAAATTAATGAAAATGCAAAATTTAAGTTGGAAATAAGTAAAAATAATGTTATTGAAAGTTGTAAATTATCTTGTTAGAAACATTTAGACGAAAACATCACTGAAATCCAAGTTATACGAATAAGTTATGACTTATTGAAGTTTCGTGGTAGAACCGGCACAACCTCACATGACGTAAACTGTGAGTTTACGATAAACTACTTTTTAGCCTTTATGATCTAAATGAAAGTCGCAGTATTCATTAAACCGATAACTTTCATAAAAAGAACGTCCAAATCTGATTTCGTATGAGGAAGTAATGATTTTTCTAAGAATCGGCATGGCAGTATTCAACTTGAAATTCGAACCATAGATCGTGCGATTTTTAGCTGATACAACCTAAACGAGAATCGAAGATATCATCAATAGTAGTTCAACGGTAAAAAGACAGACGAAAACGGGCGTCGAATGATGTCACACCCCCGAACCAGACGGCGGAAACGTCCGAGAGCTCGCGTGACTTTAATTGAATATCATCACAATGAATATACATGAATCATAACATAAACGTCACCATGCATCAATATATTACAACTGGAATTGTTCACATCAAGTACATTGTTTTAACATTTCACATTCATAACATAAATTGTTTAAGTGCTTTTAACAACATAACATCCTAACATTACTTCATATTACTCTTCCGCCTACCTGTTACCTGAGAATACAAGTTATTTTGGAAAAACATCAACATATGAAATGTTGGTGAATTCATAAGCAATGTTGTGATAAAATGATTTGTATAGTTTGTAAAACCCAGAAAATCTGATATTTTCTGAAAAGACTTTTGTTTATCAAAGTGTGAAGATCCATAAGTTGATGCATGAGTTATTTCAAAAACATATATATAAAGGGTATTTTGTATAATAGTTATAAAATTTTGAGCGAGTAGTATTGAATCCCTCGGAAAACCCGATGTTTTCCGACGTTGAAATGTATTCGTAATTACTGATTTTTGTATTGTCTTAACGAATGAATCTTGATTAATCCACATTGTATATCGTCCTAATTTCATCTACTTTGAAATCCCGTCAGCCTTAGCGAACGAAGAGAAGGGAAGCATTATGTCCCACTACTATCGTAAGCACTTAGGCTGTCGTGGATGCGAAAGACACGATGGTCCAACTCGCATTTGATTACTGTGACCTTACTAGCTTTTCTAAAGGGACACTTTGGCCCACTAGCACATAAAAGCTATTGAAAGTCCTTTTATAAAATATTGGGTCATTGAATGCCCAATAACATATAAGCGTTATCCCTTTGGGCCCAAAGATCATGTTGGTGGGCTTGCAAGGCCCAACAAGCATGATTTGAAGCTCATAAGCCCAATGTTTGTAGATTTACTCATTGTAGTCATCACGTATCTATTAAAGAGTTTTGATTTAACGATTGTTGTTTTGTATTGATTCGAGACCGAATAAATTTGTTTATAACGATATTTGGTGTTGAATGTGTATTCGTTTTTCGTCTTGTCGATTGTCGTGGATCTTGTATTTTGCCTTAATGAATTAATTTGTTTAAAAGTAGTATTTGACCTTTTCACTACCTTTTTTTTTTAAAATAACACTTTTAGTCCTTTATATAAAAGAATTTTATTTTTAGTCCTTTAAAACATTTTCTTGACACTTTTGTATCATAAACTTGTTGAAAAGGCAGTTTTAAACCAAAATTTATTTTGCTAACAGCTTTAGCCCTTCCAAAATGGTATTCTCGGTTAGAACCCCATTTTTTTGTAACTTTTACAATTTTGGCCCAAAATCTAAAAAGTTTACATTTTTGGTCCTTTTTGGAATTGAAAAGCATTTTTGACCTTTGAAATAGTTTTATTACACTTCTTATCCCCTGTTTTGCAAAATGTTATATTTCAGCCCCTTTAAACTTCAAATTTCTCAATTATGGGCTTATTGGGCCGAAAAGCCCAAATTTAGCCTATTAAGCTAAAAATTTGCATTTCAAGTCCTTTGAAAATTCTAATCTTCAGAAAAATGATTATAGAAAATTTTTTGACCCTTTTGACCCTCAAGAAACCGTGAATTGATAGTTTTTAACCCAAGTTTTGTATTTTTGACAATTTAAGCCCTAAAATGGGGTTTATGCTAGAATATGTTTCTCATAACCTTATAAGTTATTTTTATTGACTTGATTAGTTAAAAATAACTTAGATTATGTTTGTTTCCTTCCTCATGTCATAGATCTCGAGTTAACATCCCTTTTGGTTATATTTTTATCACAAGAACACATAAATTCACACACATACATGCATAAAATCACACATAGCATATACACATAGATCTACACATTTTCTTGTATTCTCCCCCATAAAACATATGAAAACCGAAAAGAGAGGGGTATGAAGCTCACCTTGAGTTGTAGTTTTGGTTTTGAAGAAAGAAATGGAAGAGTTTGATGCTATTCTCGGTCCTAGCAAGCTTTCTTGGGTGGATCTCGAACTTAGTATGTTTCTAGGAGTATGATCATGAATTCAAAGTGGTAAGAAGAGTGAATGAGTGTAGAAATGAAACATGTTTGCAAAAATCTTACCACTAGAGTGTAGCTTGAAGTGATTCTTTGGATGAAATCCCTCTTGAAGCCCTTACAATTTTCGAAGGTTTGAATGGAGGATGAAGAGTTGTTTTCTTTGAGAGTGTTTAGGAGGATTTTTAGTGAGATGTGTGTGTGTTTATGTGTTTGGCCGAGAAGGAGAAAGAGGTGGGAAAAAGAGAGAGAAGATGATTTGACATGCATGGAAGTATGGGATTTTTAAGCTTGGTTGCATGCTAAATAATATGGAGGTGGCAATGCCACACAAATCCTCCACTTTCTCAAATTTTTAAACTTATGGGCCGAAAATGGGCTTAAGGAAAGGAGTAGTGTAATAATTTGAGCCCCTTCTTGTATTGTTCGAAAACATATAGCCCATAAGGAAAAGTTCTCAGCCCATTGGGCCCTTAAGCGTATTCACAACCCAATTTAGCATAAAGGAATGGGTTTGAGTCTATTAAAGTTATTTGGATTTGTTATGGCCCAATAAGGCCCATTAGAAATAAGATGGATCATTTTAGGCCCAAAGTAGTCAAGTTGAAAGTTTATTGGTTCGTTAGACCCAATAAGAGAATCCTAGTCCATAATAATCTTGAACCGGGATTTCTAAGGTTTCCAACCCTTAGTTTAACATATGAGATGTGTTTGAACGAGAATAAAGTATAGGCTTTTACAATGGATGATGCTTATATGAGAATAGAATTTCCTAGCAAAATGCCAGTTGTGACAAATGAAGAAGTTATGAATTTTTAACGGACTTCTCCTGTCCCGGCCTGTTAAAAATATAATATTAAAAATAAAGTCAAAATTAGCCGGTGGAGTCTAAACGAAAGTTGTAGAGTATAATTTCACCTACGCATGGATATAAAGAACGTCAAAAACGGAGCTCGTATGCAAAAGATATGAATTTTTGAAGTTTTAGGCACAAACTTCGAGGCTGGAAGAACATCCAACGTACACTTAGTATACAGATTAATACGCCCAGCGTACAAGATACGTACGCCCAGCGTACGTTTGTGTACACGATCCGAGATTAGCCATGTCACCTACTCCTTCGCATGGCTTACACGTGTCGTAGCCTTGACACGTCCGAACTGGTCCCCTAGGCGTTTGAAGGAGTACGTCAGCGTAGAAGTCATTAAGGCAGTACGCCCCGCATACTGAAATTTACAACATAATGTAAACGCTTAAAGGTAAGGTAATTAAATATTTATATCTTATATAAATATAATATATGTATATCACTATTGCTTAAAGATATTTCATATGATTTGTTTTTGTGAAAACAGCTCAAGTATGTTGCAACTTTGGCATGTCCTTTAAATTTCTCCAGACTCTTAACCGAAAGAATAAAACAATAAATGGAATGGAAAGTATTTGAGAGCTTACGCGAGTTTAACAAAATAAAAGAAAGAAGAGAAAAAGAAAGACATGAGAGAAAAGAAGAGAAAGGAAAGGAAAATAATTTTTTTTTTTGTTCCCGAGTTAGAGAGAAATGGAAGGAAAATGAATCATTTTGTTCTTTTTTTCCAAATCCTCCCAAATCGGAAGGAAAGTTAGGAGAAAAAGTGATTCTCTCATTTCCCTCCACTTCCCTAATTTAATGAAACTCGGGAACACTAATTTCTTTTATTTTCTTCTCATTTCCACTCATTTCCTTTCCTTTCTCTCGTTAAGTTGAACTCGGGAACGGGGTTTTAATTTCTTGATGGATACCGATTCATCTTTAATTATATCTCTAACTTATTTGAAGCTGAAATTTTTGTTAAATATTGGTGAACTTTTTTATAAGAAGAGTTTTGGATTGTGTATTTGTAATTGTTGTTGTTTTTTTTTTTTTGTTTGAAATGATTTATGTTTAATTTAGATTTTGTATTTTTATAACTTTCAACAACAA